ACAGGCCACTACTATTACCATTATATAATATATATTCCTATAACACTACTTTTCTTACATTGTACCATAAGAGATGAGTGACAACATTTTCATCAATCAGTCTGCATGTAGCTTGACAACATGTGTTGTGTTCTCTCTAGTAACTCTGAATCAACTTCAACATGTCTGACAATAAAGAGACTGCCTGCACCTCCTACTGTAAAGGAGCAGAACTGCAACAAAGTTAGATTTTTTTTTTACCTTTGTGCTAATTTTATTGATACAGAATAGAAAATAAGACGGGAAATGATGAGGAGAAGCAAGAAAAGCAAGATCATGAGCCATATTCGAACGTAAACAACTGAATAATCACAACAGCTCAACATGCTTGTCTGCTAACTGCCATGTCAAGATCCAGTGACAGTGACAATGACAGTGTAATTTGTTGACATTAATTTAGCTCATTATAGTTTTTTAATAATTGGTGAACAGACTGCTTCAGTTAAGACCACAGTGATTTGTGTAACATGTAAGAGATGAGTGTGCATGCATACAGAGGGTATTTGTTACCTCACTGGTGAACATGGCACAGAAATAATCACTGCAAGCCGCCAACACAATGCGGTGGGCCGGGAAATCTGTGCCCTCCACCCTCAGAGTGATGTCGCACAGCGTGTTGCTTTTTCTCAGGGCGTTCATGGCATTCAAGATGGATTTGGCATGCGAATTGGTCATGATGTCCTTGGGCGCCATGACGACAGGGGGTGGGGTGGAGTGACAAAACCTCAGGCACTGCAGGATGATGATTTCTGTAGGACACAACCAATCAGTGAGCAACACAGCTGATCCCGAATATTACACATAAGACATTCTTTCTTCAGTGGAACATAAAAGACGATATTTTGAGTTTGAGTTTTAAGTTTCTGTTCCCTTTGACTTCCATTGTATTTTTTGCCCATCTGATGAAAATCGATGGGAACTGAAACTGTTTGGTTACCAATATTCTTTAAAACATTTACTTTTATGTTCAACAGAAGAAAAAAAGTAATTCAGGTTTTTAACGACATGGAGGTAAGTAAATGATGGCAGAATTTTCATTTTCGTGTGGACTATTCCTTTAATATCAGACAATATTTGTCCATATCTGCATCTGTATTGTAGCTTAAAAGTTTACAGCTGTACATTATCATTTGATGAGAATGTTATTTTTAAAATGTATTAACCAAAAAGACCTTCCAAAGAAATCACAGAAAGAAGCTGAACCTTAATGACAACTGCAAAAACAGTTTCTCAACGAAAACAGCTAAATTCCCATCCTTTTGGAAATATAAACTTTTTCAGTACCTTTTTTAAAAAGAATGAATGTAGATACATAAACAATAATATGCTTTAGAACAGGTCTATCTGTAGGCTGTGTTGGGCACTACACCTGTGTATTACTGTAGACGGGAAACAGGAATCACTTCTTCGTATTTCATATAATTTTATTAGTATAACTTAATCGAAACGTGTTGGTGTAAATCAGGTGAGAGTTTAAGCCTCACAGAGGTGAGATGAGGCTACATGCTAAAGCTACCTGAAAACGTATGCTAACCCACACATAAACATCTCAGTTTGAACTCACAACGTACAGCCGATCCACAGCAGAACAGAAACGGACCAGGACTGGATGACAGCACACGGCGGTCTATCTGGACATCTGCTGGCACCCCTCACAGGGAGACCCTCGCAGGTGTGAACTGAATTAATTTTACTCCAGCAATGAAAAGAGCAGAGCTCACGTGTGCGCGCATCCTCAGCAAAACACTGCGACGTCACCAGCGCGCGTGCGCACTGCGAACCCCGTGCTCGCGCGTCATCTTAAATAACAGCTTCAGGCCTTTACTTAATCATTTAATTTTAAAAAAAGTTTTATGATAAAAACGCTAGAAAATTTACTTTTTTATCAAACAACTCGACAGCAAGAAAATAAATAAAATAAAACTATGCCTGAATAACTACAACTACCACAAGGGTGTGAATTGTAAATGCTTTAAGAACTGGACATCAGTTGCAGTCTTTATATAGCAATTTGTTAGCAAGTTATGTTTTTATTCAACACAGTAGCTTTAAAATTCATGTTTGATATATTACCGTTGCTTGAAGTAATGTAAACCACAGACCTAGTGGAAACACTTTCACGTTCTTTTTCCATTTTCGGACTACAAACTGAACAGCTTTGTTTGTATAATAATTTCAAGTGAAAAGTAGTCATGCAATCTTTTGACAAACAGACCCGTGTCATGACTAAAATCTGTCATGGTTGTAGTTCAAGTCAGGCCTAAACGACAATTGTGTTAGATTTGTGTACTACCTTGTAGGTATTGTGATTAGAAGAATAGATATTAGAAGAAAAACCTCAGAAAAAATCTGAAAGGTAGCTGAAAACTGAAATTAGTTGAAATACTAAAACTAAAATATATTTATTAGGGCTGGGCAAAAAAAAAAAAATCGATTTTCGATATATCGTTTTTTTAAATGTGGTCGATTCAATCTCGATTCTCAAAGGCCACGAATCGATTTTTTTCAATATTGCAAGCACGATGACAAAGATACTGTGGACAAGAACAAAGCTATATGACAAACAGTTGATGGGCCCTATTGACTTGACTTCCATAGTATGGAGAAAAATATATGGAAGTCAATGGGGACCAAAACAGTTTGGTTATCCATATTCTTCAAAATATCTTCTTTTGTGTTCAACAGAAGAAAAGAAATTCATACATGCATAAATGATGACAGAATTTTTATTTTTGGGTGAACTATCACCCAAAAGCCAGTATTAGTTTTCCTACACCGTTCATAGGCTTGCAGCCTCCGTGTTACAGCTAATGCTGTGAGATTTTATGTTTGTTTTGTCTTAAACATAAAATAACCTGATCCTGTTTGATCAAGGCATGCGACTGTTCTGACTTGTCCAATTTTCAGCATCAGTTTTTCATCTTGCATCAAAATTCTGTCTATTCATTGTATGCATTTGAAATATATAGTGGGGTTTTGTTTTATTGTACCCAAGTGTACCTAAAATAAAAAGTGTTTAATATACAGGTTTGTGGCTCTTAATTTCCTATTAATTAACCATTTGTAATCTTATGTTCACTGTTCATTTTTTATAAATATAGGATTTGTATTAAATCTATATTCATTCATATAGTCAAATCGAATCGAGAATTGAAATCAAAAATCGAAACGAATATCGAATCGAAAATCGAATTGAGAGCTTGAAAATCAAAATCGAATCGAATTGGAACATCTGAATTGATACCCAGCCCTAATATTTATATATATATATACAAACACACACTCACAGTGGAGATCAAAATTAAAGAACAACTTATGAACACTTGATATTTTTCAGAAATAATGTAATCTTCAAAGTTCCAAATTTGAAGGAATTTTAGTTGTGGGCGGCTATATCATGCTAGTAGAAGAGTGTTTTACAAAATAACCAAAGCACTTCAACAAAAACCCTTTATTTTGTGTAAAACACCGTGATCAAAATTAGAGAACAGCAATGACAGCAGCACAAAGAAAAATTACAACTAAAATGTCTGAAGGTTACAGCAGTCAAAAATGTACAGGCCCTTGTTGTGAATGACTTCAGCAGCACATCTGCGGCAGCAAGACATCACTAGTCTCTCACACTGCTCTGGTGTGATCTTGGTCCACTCTTCTTCCACAGTTCGGTGACTGTAGTGGGTTTCTTAGCTAAAACTTTGTCATTATGGATTTCCAGAGATTTTCAGTCAGGTTTAGTTCAGGACTCTGGCCCGACCTTTTTATTATTTCAATGTTTTCAGCTTCAAGGAACTGCTTTACCTGTTTTGCCGTGTGACGGGGACATTGTCCTGCATGGAAATTGCTGGCTGATTGGGCGATGAATGCAGGGAAGGAACCGCATGTTGCCGCAGGAGGTTCTGATAAACATTTGCATTCACCTTGCCATGTAGCTGTATAAGAGGCCCAACTCCTGCAGAAGAAAACACCCCCCAAACCATGACACTTCTTCCTCTTTCACCGACTTCTTTAAGCACTTTGTGGTGAGCTATCCCTATTTGTTCCGTACACACCGCGTTACACAAGCAGGTTTTAATCAGGATGTTTGTCCGTTCGGGCAAGTAAAAAAAAAAAAACCACTTTAAACTAGCTAGAAGGCTGATGGGCAGCTGTAGCTCGACCTATTTTTATTATTATTGAGAACATTATACACAAAGAAAGTAGTTCGACCTGTATTCTGCTAACGTTACTGCGATTCTGTCTGACGACGCCGTAACTACGGGAGGTGGGGAGGGGGAATCTTCGGTCAGGCCAATGATTGTAAAACAGTGTCCGTCAGACTTAAGATATTTTAGCGGTAATGTGACCAAAATATTTAAGACCCATCGAATCTGAATTTAAGACATTAAGACTTTTTAAGGCCTTTTATTAGGAAAACGTTATTCAAGACCTTCTTAAGGTAAGGTGACCAGATTTCTGAAATGAAAACCGGGGACATTTCCTAGTTCAGTGGTCTTGTTGTGATTATTTACAAATGAAAAAACGGGGACAATATACGTGTATGTTTTTATTTTTTAATTGTTGTGGTTTCCATATATTAATATCATAATTAATAATTACAATGAAGTTTGAGGATCAAACTTACCCTATTTTATTAATAGGCCTACAATTCAACAAAAATCACACTGAAAAGTGAATCATAACTGCAAAGAGATCAAAATAAGATTATAACAAAATGATGACTTTACAAAACACATTAAAAATAAAACAATATGAGAACATATGATAAATGAAACTGCATTTAACAAATATTTGTAACATTTTCTGACTGTATTTAACATTTTCACAAACTGTGAGTATAAAGTAATTACAACTTTTCAAATGATTTTTTTTCCAAGTTGTTTTATGCTTATGCTTTTGGAAATGGAACTGGATTTATTATGCAAAATAATAATAAATTATGGTTTTGCATTTTTAGGCTCATTTTGACCACAAAGTATGTGCTTTCTGCAAGTGTTAATTGTTTAGTTTATTATTTTTTATATTATTCATATCGGAGTTGTGACGGCGAAAGTTTCAGGAATGTTTAATACTGTGTGCAAAACAATCCCGCAACCATATCATGCTTTGTTATAAAGTGCGCACAAACAGTATTACCGGTACTTTGTTTTAACATGTATAGTTAGTATGTGACTACCTTGAAACCAGTAACTTTTGATAATTGATGATAATAGGTCTCTGCTCTCGTCCAGGTTCTTCATGGCTACAGTAGCTCGCAGCGCCCTCTGCGGGTGAAAGTAATCGTTGTTTTGAACGTGCTGTAAAACGGGGACATTTCCGGGGACAGCTGCAGTCGGTGACTGGACACCAAAAAACCGGAACTGTCCCCGGAAAACGGGGACGTCTGGTCACCCTATCTTAAGGACCCACGGACACTCAGAAGAAAGAGTGTAGGAGGAGGTAGTGCCTCTCAAGACCTCTGTAATGCTTTATGATTTATTCCAGTGATTTACAATAAATTCTGTGCTGCACTGAAATAGTAAAGAACAATATAACACAAGACTACCTCATTTATCAAGAATTTTAAGTATCTTAACAATTAAACATCTTATTCAAATAAATGTTAAAATCCTTCAAGAGATAATAAAAATGATTAAATCAGCATTGTGTCGGGTCCAGGTTCATTGTTTGGACTTCATCCAAAGTTCAAGTGATTTATTTTTCGTTACAGCAGTGTATCATCTGTGCAGCCTCCTTCCAGGCCGTAGCGGAACTCCTGCAGGTTTGAGATCCCATAAAAATGGACAAACGCTGCTGCGACAACCAGCACATGGAATATTTGATGAGACTGAAACTGAGAAAGTAAAACAGACAGAGACCACGAGTATGCAACTTTTTTGCAATGCAAAAATAAGCAGTGAGACTTCCATTTCAGTGGTAGAGCATTGTGTTAGCAGCGCAAAAGGTCGTGGGTTCAATTCCCAGGGAACATACATACTGGTAAAAAATGTATAGCCTGAATGCACTGTAAGTTGCTTTGGATAAAAGCGTCTGCTAAATGCATAAATTATTATTAATTAAATTATTATTAGCCGCTATAGATAAATAACTAGGAGAATAACAAAGTGAATCAAAACTATTTGCTACAAAACTTTGTTTATGATTATGATTGAAAGAAAATTTCAATTAATATCATCAGTATAAACATCAACAAGCATATCTGGTTTTGTACTGCTAAAATAACTGGAAACAGACGACACCGTGGATACTTGCATGAATATTATGCTATTACACTACTTTCCAATATACATGCAAGAAAGATTCCCTTGAGTCTTACCCAGATGTCACATTTCCCAGGGAAGTAGCGTTCAGGTATCCGTGCTGCATAAAGTGCTGCTCCACTAATGTACATGGCACCCATCAGATAGAACCAGCCCATCTGACCCACTGTCGTCGCCTTCACAAAACCCTCTGCGATGGTAAAATGCATTGTGGGAATGAGCCCACTCAGACCGAGGCCCAGGAAAACTCCTAAATATGAGGAAAATGTTTTAAGAAACATTTGAAATCAATCAGGCAGGTGGAATACTCGAAGAAGCAGGGGAGAATGTTACCTGCACGTGTGGACCGGTGGCGAGGGGTGGCGAATCGGTCCCACTGGGCCACAATGATAGCAGCAACACCCAGCACACATACAACAGAGAGATAGATGAGCCGCGGCTGAGGAGAGCAGTAAAACGAGTAGTACAGCCACGGAACGAATGAGCCCATGATCAACAACGCGATACCAGAGTAATCCAACCTACAGACATAAAAAAAAATACACTCAAGTTACCAGGGACGTGTACAGACATTTTGAGGGGCAGGGGCTCAAGTGGAAAAAAGGGCACTTCTCATATTTATTTGAATTTTTTTCTAAACAAAACGTTAAATATATTAGGGGTGTGCGATATTGACAAAAATATCTCTCAATATTTTATGAGATTTTATCGATAACGATAATTAGACGATATTTTGCCGAGTGTGTCATTGTGCTGATATCTTAAGGACTACCGTGGACAGCTGACTCCTAAAGTTTTTGATATTCTGCATATTCTGTGTGGTGATCAGTTCACAGCAGTGATAGAAATTAATCTTTTCCAATAAGTTTAAATTGATCTTTTACCTTATATGGGCATTTTTACCTTTATAAAGCCCTTTTTTCTAAAAGTGTGCATCATCTTTTCAGTCAAATTCTTAAATTGAATCAGTCAATTAGAATAATAAGTCATTTGGGCTGTTACCAAGCAAATGAAATCAATATTGACAAAATTCATCTTTGCAATGCAGAGGAAACACAGAAGCTGCATTAGAAGGGCATTTACACACTGTTTAATGCAGGACATGAATGTATTTAACCTGCAGTTACAAATGCATTAATACCGTTTTGATATTTTAAACATAAAACACTGAATACTGATATTTAAAATTATTTTTATTTTTTTTAAATGAAAAGATACTTTAAATGTGAAATTAAAACTGCCAGTAGGCAGCAGCAAGTCACTGTTAATAAGTGAGTCATTGCAACTGAACCGAATCATTTAAACGGTTTATTTATTCAGGAACCAAACACCTTCATGTTGCTCAGAGACACAAATTGTAATTATATATGTTGGCGAAATAGAGCAAAAACAGTCAATATTGTGTCTAAAACGTAAGTGTCCTAATATTAAATTCTTTATTGAACTGCTGTATAAAATCAATATCACATTTGTAATCATGCTGCTTTTTGGTGGAAAAAACGTCAGTCTTTGCATGATACTGATTAACTATATGAAATAATATAAATACATAAATTTCTGCCCCCATATCCTGAATTTTGTGATCATTCTAAATGCATTTTAATAAACTAAATCATGCAGTGAAAGAATGCGCACTGGTCTAACCTACTAGAATAGGGCAACTTCCTATTGCCTTAGCTAAACTTTAGCTAACTTACATGGTAACGTTAGCTCTTATGAGTCATGGATGTTAGCAAGACAAATTAATTATATTTGTCTTTTGGATAATTAGCTGTAAATTCGAAGCATAGGTAGCTTAGTCTTTTGTTTATCACCACTCACCTCCACACCAAGAAAAACACAACTGGAAAGAGAGGGGGGGCTTCACTTATGTGGCTCTCTGCCTGTCTGTGACTCTGCCGATCAATGTGTGCTACACTGCTGTGCGACTGCGCGGAGGGGAGAAAGGCATCGGAACTCGACAGAGTCTCAACATTTCCCGACCCGACCGCGCAAACAGAAGCACATATATACATATATTCATTAAAAAAAATAATTAAAAAAACTCCCCAGAAAAAAGGGCACTTTCTCTCGAGGAAGATAAAGGGCAGGTGCTCAAGCCCCTTTTGATGTCTATGTGTGCACGTGCCTGCAAGTTACTGAAGGTCACATGATCCTTCAGAAATCATTCTAATACGCTGATTTGGTGCTGAAAAAAACATTTCTTATTATTATCAGTGTTAAAAGCTGTTGTGCTGCTTGATATTTTTGTGGAAACTGATACATTTTTTTTTCAGGATTCTTTGATAAATTAAAAGTTCAAAAGAACAACATTTATTTGAAACAGAAATGTATATTTTTTTTAAATAAAAAAGTTTATACTGTCACATTTGACGAATTTAGTGCATCATTGCTTAATAAAAGTATTAATCTGCCATTGCAGTAATAAATTACATTTTAAAATGTATTCAAGTAGAAAACAGTTATAGTATTTCAAAATATTTCTATTTTTACTGCATTTATTAATTAAATAAATGCAGCATTGGTGAGCATAAAAGACTAGTTTCAAAAACATAAAAAAAACGTATTACAAATTCTTGGCCGCCAGTGTACACAATGACACTTAATGTGCCTCTCATAAAATGCCTACACACAAAGAGCATAAAAACTGGTGCCACTTACTTGGAGAAAGTCCTGGAGACCTTTTCCGAGTGGCAGTAGACAGTGTGAAAAAGCCAGGAGAAGCACAAACAAAGAACTGCACCCAGGAAGAACACCCCAAACACCACCTTCTCCTGCACGGGTGCCATGAATGACATGTTTGGCCGCAGCATTGTCAGAGTGCCTAAGCACAGGAACAGAATTAAGCCTGTAGGGACACATTGCGATAGCTTAATTAGCCTTTCAAACTACATACCAGAAACACAATTACAGGTTAGAGTGACATTAGAAGTCTAAGTAGTTTACTTCGAGTCATCCTCAGGGCAGTGATTCACACATATCGGATTATCACACTACAAATATCGTTCAATTTATTTTTCTTAAAAAGTCACTGGGGTTATATGACATACTACTGTTTAAAAGTGACAGTAAACATTTTTACATTGTTCCAAAAGATTTCTATACTCATCAAAAAGTCCAGAAAAAAAATCTATCACGGTTTCCATAAAAACATAAGCAGAAAAACTGTCTTCAACATTGATAGTAATAATAAGAAATGTTTCTTGATCTACAAGTCAGCAAATTAGAATGATTTCTGAATAATCATGTGACACGAAAGACTGGAAATTCAGCTTTTCCATTATATGAAAATATACTGAAATACACAAAATACATTAAAATACAAATCAGATATTTTAAATTGTAACAATAAATGCAGGCTTGGGCATAAGAGACTTTCTTTCAAAAACATCAAAAAATCTTGACCCCTAACTTTTGAGCAGTAAAGTGTATATAATACAACAGGAAATGCTTAATAAAAACTGTTGAGGAGTATGCTTTTCTGATAGCCAGTTTATAAATAGAAGCTACAGTGATATATAGTATTTCAAGAGATACTGGTTTTGAAACGGTTTTGCATTATTATGTCAAAATGTCACATATCACAAGCACAGACCCAGCAGGTGCGTCCAGATGTTTCCAGTTTCTGTGTGAATCCTGAAGATGCTCCCAAAACAGGTACGGAAGGACGGCATGGATGGCCGGTGTCCATGCAGCAGGTAATCATTGTCCTTTAGCCAGTCAGGGAGAAGATGGTATGGAATAACTCGCCAACGTCCTTCCCATACCTGGTAATGGAAAGACTTTGCTTTAAAGGGCCCCTATTATGCAAAATTCACTTTTACATGTTGTTTGAACAAAAATGTGTGTTTGCAGTGTGTGTACACAACCACCCTATAATGACAAAAATCCACTCACTTCTTTTTTTTTAAATCCCCATAAATCATAAGTCCTTTAGCCAGTCAGGGAGAAGATGGTATGGAATAACTCGCCAACGTCCTTCCCATACCTGGTAATGGAAAGACTTTGCTTTAAAGGGCCCCTATTATGCAAAATTCACTTTTACATGTTGTTTGAACATAAATGTGTGTTGGCAGTGTGTGTACACAACCACCCCTATAATGACAAAAATCCACTCACTTCTTTTTTTTAAAATCCCCATAAATCATAAGCATCTCAGAACAAGCCATTCACAGAATCCGTAAAATGTAATGTCACATTTTACAAGCCCCACCCACACCTGTTGAGGGACACTGCCGTATTAGCAGAGACCTCGCCTTGAGTGAGCCACACACAAACCGACATTTTTATCTTCACGCTAGAGCATTTAAAGCAGGATTCTAGTAAGAAATGTCTTCTTATTAGCACAACAGAAATTATTCATTCAAGAGCAGTGAGTGATTTACTGTTTTTATTTTATTGTTTGGCTCATTAACAACATAGACAGCAGTAGGTACTGTATATTACACTGCTGTCACTTTTCATTGTGTTGCTGTCTATGCAGGGTCAGAAAGCTCTCAGATTTAATCAATAATATCTTAATTTCTGTTCCGGAGATGAACGAAGGTCTTACGGGTTTGGAACGACATGAGGGTGAGTAATTAATGACAGAATTTTCATTTTTGGGTGAACTATCCATTTAATACACAGATCTAATATAAACATGTGACTTCTTCCCAAACGGTTTACCTTGACAAACATAGCCGACTGTTTTTGTAACTGTTTTTAACAAACTTGTGTGTATTTGACAGTTTAAATGCTTTATTTGACAGCACATGCTTCATGTGTGTGCTCAGAAAACCGTGCATCAGGTGTTTAAACTAACATGGGTTTAAAACGCATGATTTCAGTGAAATAGACATTATAATCAAAACCAAATTATAATTGGTTTTTGGCAGAGTATCTGAGGTAAGAGCTGTAAAGGCACAGCCCTATTCTGGAAAAGGCAGCAGGAAGCAGTAGCTCATTTGCATTTAAAGAGACATGCACGAAAATGGCGAGTATGGCAAAATTATATAATAAATTATCTGTGGGGTATTTTGAGCTGAAACTTCACAGACACATTCTGGGGACACCTAAAAATGTATTACATATTGTAAAAAGGGGCTTAATAGGTAGGGGTGGGCGCTATACCGGTATGAAAGGTATTATGTTGTTCCATGATATGGATTTTGCTATACCGTGGATACCGTTATATATTCATATATTCAAATTTTGCATTTATATAGTTGTGTACAATTTGGTACTCTTTGCAAATTTGAACACAAATGACGATAAAGAGTCGTGGCTGAATGTTTTTGTCCTCTGTGTGCAACGCCCTACTACACAGGCATTAGTAATCAAACACATAGAGCATCATAACAGACCAAACTAATAGAGCGCAAATCGCCTACTCCAGTGGTTCCCAAACTGAGGGATAGTGTACAGTCAGCAGATTATTTTGCAAAAGAAACCTCTATATACCTCAATATGACTCGCATTACCCGCTTGAGTGCTCCATTATCAGTTGTAGCAGTTGTGGTTGTATCAATAACAGACCACTAGATGGAGCCATTGAAGAATCAGAGTTGTATTGCAGGGAGCCATGTAGAAATATAAATGAACGATGCATGGTTCTGCTCTGAGCATAAAAGTTACACGTTTGTGAAAGGACTTCCAGTGCCAGGTAA